AAATAAAAAAAATAAAAAAACCTACACACAATCACTGTTTCTCCACGCTTCACTCTTTTCCCTCGGTGGTCCAGATTTCCGCGAGAGGAGTCCTATAACACAGCAAACTTTGAAAAACTTGGAGGTGATTTGAAGGAAGGAGCAGAGGAAAGAGAAATATGGATTGGAATGGAAGCGTAAGAACCTTTGTTCCTCGACCAGAACCTTCTTTCAACTTCCTCTTCAATTATAACTATGATCATCATCAATATCCAGGTATTGTCATTTCCTCTATCGCTTCAATCACCATATGACCTCTCTTTTCTTTAGAAAGAAGAAATGGTTTCAATATTTTTCTTCATCGGTAAAGAAGCTAGTTAGTACACTTAGTCACAGTAGCGGATTTAGAAAATTTCTTGAATAGTATCTTCTATTGGTGTCAATGAATAATATTTAGCATTCTTTGAAAATTCTCCTGCATAATTGGTGTCAATTCAAATATATATACATAGGTTTGCTACTTCTTAATTATTGGAGAGATTTGAAAATGGGTTTTTTAATATTTGAACCGGTGCACATTAATTTCTATTTGGTGCAGTAATTGTACCGGTATGGTTGCTATCTTTGCTTGGTAACACACGCAAGATTTAAAATATCCTCTCCTTTTTATTAGGGACGGAAATGAAGCATCCTGCTACAATGGCTGAGGCGGCTGCTGCAGCACATGGGTTTGTTCCTGCAATGGAGAAGAACTGCTACGGCGAGAAGAAGAAGAGGTTGACGAATGATCAGTTGGAGTCGCTGGAGAGGAGTTTCCAGGAGGAGATCAAGCTGGACCCCGATCGCAAGATGAAGCTATCTAAGGAGCTCGGCCTCCAGCCTAGGCAGATTGCCGTTTGGTTCCAAAACCGGCGTGCTAGATGGAAAGCTAAGCAGCTTGAGCGCTTGTACGATGCCCTTAAACAGGAGTTTGATGTCATCTCCAGGGAGAAACAGAAACTTCAAGAAGAGGTCAAAACCCTCTCCCTCCTCCATGCATTTCATGCAAATTACTCTACTTTTTCTTCCTACAAAATTTTGTTAGGTTCTCGTACGAGAGTAATAAAAATTAAGGAGAACTATGGACTAAACAATTTGCAGGTACCTATGAGATTAGTCAAGCGTCCAGATCCCTCTAAAAGTTACATGTCTATATTAGGCCTAACTTGCGCTCTCTTTTCATTTGCTTATCATGTTGTACTGTGATTTAGGTCATGAAATTGAAAGGCATGCTAAGGGATCAGCAGGTGGGGGCAAGGAACCAAGTGTCAACAGGTTACACAGAAGTGTCCGGTGAAGAGACAGTGGAAAGCACATCGATTCACGGTTCCGACAAGCCACGAGGAGCGACCAGTGGCCACCATCAGATGGCACAGTGCAGCTATCTGTTCAATGTGGACGAGTATAACCCAGTATCACCTCCCTACTGGGGCGTGCAGCAGCAGCTGCCTTCCTATCCCTAAGTCATCTCTCTTAAGTTAGTGTTAATATATGAGCTGATGAGTTTTATCTAGATTAATTTAGTTTAGCTAAGTAGGTTTAATTATAACATATCTTAGACTTGGATTAGTCTTAATTAGCAATTAAGGTAGGAAGAATGGAGGAATATGCCTAATCTCTTTCTACTGATCTGATCGAGAATTGTCAGGTGATCAAATGAGCTGTTTAAGTCTTATGTTTAGAAGCCAAAATAATTTTCTTGACTATGAGGTACTTTTTGCATGATTAGTTTAGTTACGTTGTATTTTTATTTTTATTTTTTATGATGGATAAATATTTACTTATCTAAACTTGCAATCAATTTTTAAAGTTAAAAATTTAATTTACTTTTAAAATTGAAATTAAAAAAATTGTTTGATACATTTTTTAAAAGATGTCTTCTATTGTAAAAGTTTTTTTTTTTCTTTCTTTTTGGTATATAACGATAATAGCTTTATTGATTACCAAAACAAGTACGTCAGAAAATCTATGCTCAGTTTGAAGTTTTGAAATTCGACCTTCCTTATTCATTAACTACATCCTGGATGTTAACTATAATAACAGTGCATGAATTTGCCACAAGAGAAACGTGGTGATGGTCACACGTCCATTTCGATCAAGGGACCTTTTGCAATTTTGACCCAGATAGAATACTTCTGATCTTTTACGGAAGAAGAGGGTTTTTTATTTTTTTAAGAGGAAATTGAGAAAAAGGAAAAAAATATTACAATTATTTTAATAATAAATAAATAAATTTTAATATAAGTCAAGATATTTAATGTACATCTCATAAGTGACTACTATAGTGCCAGGGGAGAAGAAGGGTTGTTTGCAAACTTTCTGATAAGTGCTGATAAAAGTGCTTACTTTTAGCAGCACTTTCCAGCGGTCTTTTATTTTTAGAGGAGTTTAAAAATTGTAAAAATGCAAATTGTTCCCTATTATTTCGAGTTCAAGCAAATTAACACCAAAAATAATTTTTGAAGAAATTTGCCAACTGTTGACATCAGCATAATTATTGCTTTCATTCTTTCATTAAACTATTTCTTTCACTTCAAAAAGCAATTTTTTTTTCCCATTCCATAAAACCTTCTCTGATTTCAAACAGAACATTTTCCTCCCATTGTTATAACATACAAGGAAAAATTATTGTATACTCTAATACAACTTAAATTATATAATATTAATTATTAAGTAAATATTAAACCTTCAATATCTTTTATCTAATAATTTTTATTTTATAACTTAATATAATTTAAATCGTAAAACATAATTTCTAATTTCAAAGTGAAAATCAAAATATTAGCCTCAATGAAAAAATAAAATATTTGCTTTAATTGGAAGATCGATCTCCCTCAAGCCGCTTATTCCAAGAGTTGATCCCTGGAAACATACTCTAGCACACTCCATGGTCTGATTTTTGGACATGTCTGCCAAGAGCAAGGTTCGACATCCATAAAGGTAGTAGCTATAGAAGTAGAGATCAACTTTTCAATAACAAGTTCATAATATATATAAGAACAAATGCAGAAACTCAAAACATTTTGCCCGAAATATAGTGCCAATCAGTCTTCGGACAGCCTTAACAAAGAGAATACCATCTATTACTCCAACAACAGAAAAAGACTAACAAGGAACTGGCAACTCAGCGCTTTCCACCGCCGCCACCAAGTTTGGGTCCCTTAGGAACAGCACCCTTCGCAACATTACCCTTCCCCCCTGCTTTCTGTTGCTTTGCTGTCACCTCAGCTTTCTTGGCCTTCTTCTCATCCTTTGTTTTCTTGATCCTTTCCTTAATTTCACTATAGAATGAATTAAATCAGCAAGATACAATAACGAAGTGCCATAATTATAAGACTGATGATGTGTATATCTTTGAAACGAAGAATTACATACCGGAGGGCAGATTCTCTGGCAGCATCACGAACTTCAGGTTTCTCAGCTCTTCTCTTCTGGATAACTTCCAAGGTGGCACCCACAATCGACCTAGAGTAGGGCTTCTTGGTGGCTCTTCTCCTCTTCTTCACAGCCTCTTGGGCAATATCCTGAAGGCAAATTTAATAAAAGAATGAGCAGACAAAACATTGAAAGGGTGGATAAAGAGCAAGACTTGTCCACGTGAAAGCAACCAAGGGCATCATTTTGCCCCATTATGGTGGGAAGCAAGGAAAAAGATGCAGCTCTTGAACTGCAAAGTAGAGTAAACAAACAGGGTGAACAAGGTAACTGGTACCAGTCATGTCAAGGCATGCAATGTTATAGTTATGGAGGCTAAAGAGTGAAAACTCGTAATGAAAGATCCGATGAAATAATCCAACCACATATCAACTAAATGAAGAGCGTGGAAAATCAGATGACCATACAAAACTGATGGCTAAGCATGAACTTTCTCACAAACAAACCTGATAGTATACATCAACAAGAAAACAAAGAAGTTTCTAAAATGAAACCAAAAACACCAGAAGCTAGCTACCTTCTTATGTTGCTTCCTGTACATGGCTGTCCATGTAAGCTTGGATGGCTTCAAGCGGTTGTGGAAGTACCTCTTGCATTTGGAATTGGCAAAAAGGAACACCTAGTAACAGTGAGAAGGAAAACAATTCATCATTAGCACAACTACTAATAATCAACCTCCCAGAAACATATAGGAAGGAAAATTAAAGAAACAACGTGAGGGAAAAAGACAAATTTAATTTTTTACCTGAGAATCAGAACGGATAAATCTAATGCCCTTCCCTGGGTAAATCTTGGCCCCACTAAAACGACAAAGCTCCGTCCTGACATCCCAATATTAGATCTTAGAGCAAGACTCAAAGATGAAAATGCAGGGTCATACACTTAGGCTATGATAGATTACAAATAATGCTAGAAAGATGCCAAAAAAAAATAAAAATGATCAAAAGATGCAGACCGAAAACAGCAAACAAGTTGTGCATGACATATAATCGAATGACATAATCATGTAAACATATAAACTTCAATAAAATGAGAACTTGAACAACCAATACCAATTGCTGTGAATATGGATAGCCATCCAAACTGAACTTAAATGTCATAACGTATCAAAATAAAATAACAAAAAAAGTATATAAAAACAAGTCATTTCCTAAACTAAGGTACAAGGCCATGCCAAAACCAACCCTTCTATCAATTTTCAATCTTTTAGCTAGATATACCATCAGTTTATAGACAAAAGCATTGACGAAAGCAACTAGGGTATTTGAAACGCTAATCTCCTGAAAAACACAGGATTAGCATAACAAAGAACTCCGTAACAGATCAAACTGAAGAAGCAGCATAGAACACAAGCCCTAGCTCAATTGGAAATGAAAATTAAACAGAAAGAAGGAAAAATGGAAGCAGCTAACAACACTAGCTAACTATTTCGATTAAGCAAATAGATCTAGCTGTTAAACAGTTTCATCCTCAATGATTAAGACAAAAGCTTTCAAGAACAGATTATCGAACATGAACCATAACAATTTCAGTCATGAAGATTAAGAGAGATAAAGAGAGAAGACTACGTACTTCAGAACCATGGCTGCTGTTGCTGCTGCTGCTTCTCCTTTGCTGCGAAAACCCTAGAAACCCTAACAACACAGGTATGTATATCAGCAACTTATATGAACGGCCCTTACGAAATTCGAAAACCACGAAATGGCCACCGCGATGAATGGCCCAATAATTAAAGGCGTAGCCTTATCAGCCCACATTAACCATTAGCCAGCTTCAGAGTACTATTTGGGTCGAACTAAACGTCCAAGCTCCTATGAAACATTTGTTGTACTTGTTTCTAACTGCCAGCCCATACAAATTTACAAACCGAAACTCCATCAGCCCATTAAAATTTAAAACAGAAGTATAATTTAAAATTTT